TTCTTTGAAGGAATAAAATGTATCCTATACCTAAAGCAAAAATTAAGAAAGTCAATCAACGTAATGAGTTGCAGGTAAGGGAAAAAAGACATTTGAAAGGGCATGACTAGGTGCTATGAATGATGGAAATCAGAAAAGTACTGCTTAACTCATACACCAGAGAGAGCAACTGTCTCTGAATTTCTGGAGTGGAGCAAACAGCTGTCCTACTAGGTACTGACTGAATTGTCCATGAAAGGATTATGAAGAGAGAGGCGTAATGTATTGTGAAGTTGAACATAGAATTGAAAGCTGCATCATGGGAGGATGAGGAACTATATGGGGGAGAACAAAGTAGTAGAGTAAAAGATGTAGACATAATGAAGAATGTGGTGATCACACACCTCCTGGTCATGTCAGTCATCATTCACCAGAAACAGAATCATCCTCTGCATAATTTCAGATTCTAAGGGAGACTCAGAAGGCATCCTAGCCACATTTCTATCCAGTGCTGAGTCTCTCTCCGTGATGTAGTCGGCTTCTTCTTAAACATATCTAGGCACAGGAAGTCCAGTCCTTTAATTTTTAAGTAGAGCTGTTAGTTAGTTTGGTTGTTTTTAATCTTTATCCTGACCCCAAATCTTCCAACAGACATTACATACCAACCGACAAACTGTGTTCTGTACTTTTAGGGAAAAACATAAAAAGCCAGAAATTAAAAGAAAGAACACGTGCACTCATCTATATATCACATCCAAAATGTGAAATTTAAAGGTGGCCATGTTCCTCAAAGTAGGGTATGTGTGCCTACACCAGAGGCACATCTGGATATGGCAAAGGGCACGCAACGCCACAGGATAAACGTGAGCAAGCTTCCTAGAGTAATGCTTTCACTTGAATAAGACATTGAATGAAGACTTCTTTAATTTCTAATTCTAAAATGTTTGTGCTACACATGAACCACCTAATTTAATAGAATTTTCATGTTGGATAATCCTGTGGCTTTTGTGAAGGAGAGTAGAAAATGGGTATGTGCAATAAATGACTGAAAAATGTAGTCTGTGTTCTTTTGTGTTGTAATTATTTTCCTGAAGGTAAATAATTTAATTTTTATTAAAAGAAACATCGACATATTATCGTATAAAATATTTCACACATATTTATAATAGCATAGGAATCTTAACACAGTATTTTAAGTGTTTTTCAAATCACTTTGGGTTATATCCTGAGACCCCTTGAGTAATGTATAGAAAAGTTGGAGAAGTCTGGAAATAGTCCACCCCTGCTTCCCTGAGTTCAGTGTAACTCTCTGATGCCAAACTTCCTACCATAATGAAATTTACTTGTTTCTATTACAAAAATATACATTCTAGTTACTTGGAATTTAAAAAACACAGTAAAGTAAAAATCAGAGTTAAAATCATATTGTAAATAAAATTTGCACCTGCTTTTTTTACTTACCAGTATACTATGAGCATATTCACATGTATATAAAAATTCTTACTTGAAAGTATTTATAATGGCTCCATATTATTCTGTAATAAGTTTACACCATAATTTATTTAATCATTCTTTTATCAGTCTGAATTTAAATTGTTTCAAGATATTCTCTGTTATGAACAATTCTTTGATAACCATTTTTTTATAAATATAATTATTTCAAATTGTATATTTAGGATAGATTCCTAGAGCAGAAAACAAAAGCAAAAGGAAACAGATACAAGCTCTTAAGAGTGAGTAAATTATTTCCATGGGTTTCCATTATTTCCTTTGACACCAATGGGCATTTCTATGTAAATAACTCTTGTAGATCAATCAGGTTAATTTTGAGTCCCCCATGGTGGGTAGTATTCAGACAACCGCTTAGCAACATGTTGCCTGGAAGAGCGGTTTTTGTCAGAAGTGAGGGCAGTCTTCTGGAGAGCTCTGTGCCCTCTAAGCCTGATAGTTGGCAATTCTGAAGACCAAAACCAACTTCCGGTTTGATAATTCACTAGAAGGACTCCCAGAACTCAATGAAAGCTGTTATGCTCGCAGTTACAGTTCTGTACAATGAAAGGATACAGATTAAATCAGCCAAAGGAAGAGACACATGGTGCAGAGTCTGGGCTAATGCTTTGACTCTGACCGATGGAAATAAGTCAGTGTTAATTCCGTTACCAGAAGAGTCAAAAGGGCTACTTTGCACAGGCTCAAAATAACTAGAACATGCTGTCTTCACCCTCAAGGACCTCCTAGAGACTGAGGAAAGTGAGAAGGTAAACGTTTCAAGAAAAGGAGATAAATACAGTAAAATCACTATCCCTGAAGATGCTCATGGGAAATGAGGGGGACACTTGAGGGACAACTAACCCAGTTAGAAGAAGAAGGGACTGGAAGACTTTGAGTACAAAGTGGACAGTCATAAAGAATTAGCCAGGATTAGAGAGGTAAGGATTGAAACAAAAAGTCTGAAAAAGCACATCTCAAGCCTACACATATACATACAACCACAAACAAAAGAACATGTGCTTAAAATAATCACAGATAACAATAGCAGACATTTACTGAACATATAATTATGTGTCAGGTGCTGTCATAAGCTTTTTGCATTTATTAGCTTAGCGCTTCCCAGACAATCAGTCACAAAGAACCATTGTTTTTCCTTACTTTTAATCGATCTCAACTTCCAACTTTGCTACCAGAGAGCTACATGATTTGCACAAATCATTTTGAATTTCAGCTTTCCTACATGCAAAAAAAATGCTATTCTGTCAGTTCTGTTTGCCTCGTCCCTCCACCAGGTGTGACTAATGCAAAGTTCATACCAGAAGCAACTCAGCACTTAATTTCAACGACATCCAAACCAGTTTATACCCTACTCAATAAGAGCTATCCACTGATCACACACTTAGATGTCATGACAATGTCAAATTACTATAAAATTTTTAAATGCTTTCTCTTAATTTCTGCACCTTTTCTATACCAGTAGCTAACAATGCTCCACAGACCAAGCCCCTTCATGGATGCGTACCCTGTGGAGTTGCATAGGCCACATGCTCCATTGTGAAATTCTTAATGATTGTTGAACGAGGGACCCCTCATTTTCACTTTGCATTAGGCCTGCAAACTACATAGCTGGTCCTATACACAAAGGACACCCTGAGTAGCACTGTATTAACACACTGAATTCTCACAAACATTCTATGAGATGATACTATCACTATGTTCATTTTCCAGAGTGGACTGTGAGGCACAAAGTAGTTGAGGAAAATACAGCTGATGAGGGGAGAGACAGATCTGAAGCCAGGCAGTCTGGTTCTAAAGCCCAGGCTTTTAAACACACGCAAAGTCAGGAAAATTTGGGGAAATTATTAACTATCCAGTGTTTCCAAAACAGATAAAGAAAAAGGAAAAAAAAAATCCCATAACAGAGGGAAGGAATTTGCCCTTCATAACCAGAAGGGATAGCAGTGTTAATTTTGAGACACTGCAGTGTTGGCAATGGGGCTGCACTATGCTACAACTGATGAAGACAGCAAGGAAGGAGACTATACTGAGCATTCTCCCTTTTTAGAGTGCCAACAACTGGAATTCCTGTCTATTTGGAATGCAATCCTGCTAGAGATATGAGTGGTCCAGAGTTTTTCTTTCAGCATCCTTCGTATCAGAGTATGAGCAAGTGACTGAGGCTCAATAAGATAGGTGCATGTGCTGCTGCACCAGACCAGGAGCTAGTGACACATAGGAGCAGCTACAGTAGAGGATTCTGTCTGGTGGCCAAGGTTGGTGGCAGCATATCTAGGCTCTGGGGTCAGCTGCAGGGACTGAGACCATGTCCAGTGGAGAAGTCTTGGCAGTGCCTTAGGAGGTGGCCTGAATTCAGTGAGGAGGGCAGTGGCGTCCCTCACTCAAAGAGTGCTGGGACATAAATAGGGCCTCTGGTGGCTTCTGTTCAATCAGAAGCTTAGTTTTCTGCCCTTCACTATTCTGTCACTACCTGACATCTGTTCAATAATTTCTACTTTTGCTCATACCAGCCGTAATCTGCGTCTATGACTTGCTGATAGGAGCCCTCACTAAGACAAAGATCGAATGCAAAGGTGACATAAATCTTGACATTTCAAGGCAAATGACAGGCCCAGAAGAGTGAAGTGCTCTGGGTCAGACACAAAAGAAAGTGAGAGTTTCAGAAATACCATAAAAAGGTGGAATTAGAATGAGGTTAATTATTCATTTCAAAATTAAATATTAATAATCAAGATTAATAACAATCTTACATTTATGGAATGCCTTTCCCACTTGAAGAACCTCCAAGAACTCATTTGAATTTATAAGCCAAGAACATAAAATCATTAATTAAGACATGAAATTCATGAAGTATATACATCTTTAACCAGTGAGAAGGAAAGATTCGTGGAAGCTTAATTAGCATTCATCATTAACAGAGTTTCAGGGCGGCAGCGGTCATAGGGTTAGTTGGTTCTATCTACAGAGGACTTGGTGATGTGCAGTCCTTTGCCTCTTTGTCCCAGGTCCCCAGAAATCTCTATCAAGCTGCCTTTCCTCCTCTGACATTTGTCCACGGCCCAATATGGTCCCTGCCAGCTACTGACTCTATAATTAAGTGGGGGGCAATGTTTAGAGCTCATGAAAGGAATATATCTCTGGTTCTTCAATGATGACCGACAAATTTCGAGTTGAAGCTCGAGTAAGGAAAAAATCAAAGAAAATGTACATACTGTCATTCATGTGATTTTCCTGAGCAGGGGGCAGCCATTTGGTGTGCCACATCTCTGGGAACAATGTAGACATTCTAACAATGCGACTTCTAGCACAGGAATTTCTTATAACCTGTCTCTTACCCAGAAGTAAACAAAGAATATAACAATAGCTACCACAAGCACACGGCATTGCATTTGTATCCATAACTTCAACAATCTAGCACTTTTAGGTGTTAACATTGTACTAAGATGAAGCAAGAAAGTAACGGCTCAGTACGTGTGAAACCAAGAAGGACAATGTGCGGATGGTGTGGGCAAGGTCAAGGGAGCCCGTGAAGAAAGAGCAAGCAATCAGGCTCTGGGACTAGCTGCAGGAAAAAATATTTATCTTGGCACGAGGGGAAACACGAAGGAGGCACAGTGTTCCCAGAACCCAGCAAGGGCTTACAACTGGGAAGGGGACTTCCCAGGAGGAGGTAAGTCCATAGAGCTATACAGCCACTGTGGAGACTCCACAGGCAGGCAGGAGGGAGTGGGCGACATCTTGCAGTATTCCTCTTCTCATACTCTGAAGCTGCTCTGTTAGGGCCTCTCTGGGCGTGCAGTCCACAAGGTCAGTCTTCCAGAGCCAGAGTGGGGCAGAGGTCTGAACATGGCGGGGTGGGTGCCGGGGGGGGAAGCAGGCAAGCAGAACAACCAGCACAGCATTCCTTTTCACAGGTAGAAAAGCCGAGGTTCAAACTGAGTTGTGTGAATCGTGTAGCTCTTTGGTAGCGGAGCTGGAATTTGAACCAAGATGACACATTTTCTTTCCCTGCCCACTGCCCTCTGCCTCTGCCTCCATACACTTTCCCCAAGGTGTCTCAGACTTTGCCACCTAAACACTCTTAAAGTCAGAGGCATCTGAATATAACCTCAGGGTGAGTGTAGGGTCTTAAGCGTAAACAACCTGGTCCAAGTGTGAAATATATCTGAAGTCTCATATTTTATGTTAAATATTAATGAAATTCCGTGTGTGTATTTGTGTGCACATGAGGGGGATGTAGATGTCCAGGTGCGAGTTTATTGTAAGGAAGAATAACACTGCTAATTTGTCATTAACCTTTGAGTATGTGAAGGCAGGCTACATTTTCCTGTTGCTTTATACCTTTCAAGACGCATGGACCCAAGCTCCAGGAGAAGCTGTCCTCAGTTTATGAAGCACGGTGGCTTCTTCCACCCTTCCTCAGCACACACGCCTTTGAGGAATCAAAATGACAGCTACAGAGCTCTTGCACTGAAGCTCTGCTCTTGACCCTGGGTGTGAATCTCTTATAGTATTTATTCCAGAGTGATTACTCTTTAAAAATAGTTCTCACATACTTGATAACCTGTTTTTAACAGCAAGTTAGGAAGTTGTGAAGGTGGCACGAGTGGAGGTAGCAGGCAGAAGCAAAGTCAGAAGCAGCCACCATGGCAAACGTGAGAAATGGCATGGAGTTGGGCTGGCATCACTGATTGGAGCAAGGGCTACGGGGCTAGTCATTTCTTTGGGCCGGGACTGAGGTTTGTACGTGCCATTCCAGTCCCATGGGAGGCAAAGCCCCAGCACCAGGTAAGCAGCGCAGAGTTCTGTGTCTGGAGTATCCTGGGTAGGTGGCATCTCAGAAATGCAAACCATCTACTTCCCCATCCACCACCATCTATCAGGAATATGTTACGCATTTGCATTTTAATAGGCATTTTATATGCTTTCTCCTTTAGTCCTCATTAACGATGCTTTTTTTTTTTACAAAAAAAAAAAAACTCATTGTATAGATGATCATTAAAGCTCAAAGAGATAAAGAAGAAACTCACTCAAGGTCACACAATTTAACTTTGGAAGACTCTGATTCCCAAATCCACGCTACTTTATGCTGAGCCGTGCTCTGCCTGGATTCAATCTCTAGTCCCATAGACATGATCCAGCTGGGACGAGTGACCATGTTGGAGAAGAACTATGGGCCTGCCTAAAGTTGGTGTCAGAAGTTTGTGTTGGGATGGGGCTTCAACCTCAACATCAAGAGAAAAACAACGAATAGCAATGGCTGTTACCTTATCCTCTGACATTGCCATGTGACCATGTCCTACTGTCGTTAAAGTTAGGGGCTTTCATCACACATGCCTGCACTCACCCTCAGTCTTTACCTCAGACATGCCAAATGATCTTTGCCAAATTACTCAACTTTTCTAAGCTTTTGTTTTCCCATCTCTAAAAAAGGAATTAACAGTTTTCTTCTTCATGGAACGGTTGTGAGAATTCAGTGAAATCACGTAGGGAAAGCATTTTGTACAGCACCCAGAACCAGATTTCTGGATCCTAAAACCTTGTAGCATATGTACACTTGTTAACTTGCTATCATGAGTTACTGTTTGTCATCCATGTCTGTGTAATTAAAAGAGTTGATGTGCTTATATTTAGGAGAACCAAAGAAAGAAATCAGAATGGAAAAGGAAGGCCCAAGTTAGAGTAAATAGAGGCACTTCCAGGAGGGGAGGAGATATGACCAAATCCCTGAGGCTTGGGAGAAGAAAGGAGGAAACCAGGCTGAGTGGGGCTCACCCACCATATAAAACTCTTTAGTTCACAGGTTCTCAGCCTTGGCTGCATGTTGGACTCACCTCAGAGTATTGAGCATGCCTGGGCTGCACCCCAGAGATCCTGGCTTAATTGGTCTGGGTGTCAGGAGCTGTAGCATTTGCCTGATCATGAGTCTACTGTGCAGCAAAGTGTCTGCTTAAGCGTCATATTAGCATATCTGTCTCCTCTTCCTCAGCCACTCCAGGCATCTGTTTTGAAATCCACTGAACATGGCTCCCATTCAAATTTTCCAGGATCTCCACAATATCACATCTTTCTCATTCTCATCCTTCTTATCACCCTTTTGGGTTTGTAACAGAATATGACTGTCCTAGCCTAGACATGACATGGGTCACAGTTGCTTTGACTTCTGTTCTCCATCCATTCTGGACACGCCAGTGACCATCAAGCAGGGGCAGACCCCACGTCCTCTACCCTGCCCAGGCCTGTCCTGTTTGCTAATGAAGACTGTGAGTCCCTAGATGCAGAGTTGGAGTCCTGGTTACCTTTGCAGTCCCAGCCCTGACCCAAGGCAGTGGGTGCAGTCTGAAGGCAATCATGAGCCAAAAATGTTTTAGGAAGTGAAACTGGGAAATATTTAATTGATTGATTATGTACACTTAAAATGCCAAACCATATGAAATTTTTCATGGCAAAAGATGATGAGCATGTGCATTGAACAATTTTTTGAGGTTCCCTCCCCAACTTCCACCATGTTGGCTGGATTCTTCTTTGCCTTGGAGGAGCTGTTCTTCAATATAAACTGCCTAAGATACTAACTTCATTCTCTTCCCTCCATATGTTAACTCAGACCCTAACAGACCACACTTTTAGGGTACGAGTGAAGATTCCTTCAAGAAGCACAGTACTTTTCATGCAGTGAGTGCTCAGTTAATGTGTCAGTGTCACCAAGACACCCCAGTCCCATGGGTGGCTGTCTGGTGGAGCATTTCTAATATTATTGTGCAATCAGGATATTATATGCATGGCCTTCTGAACAGGAAAAGCATGTTGAAATAGAACAAAACCAAACAAAACACCACTGTCAACGGCAACACCATAAACTCTCCCTTAGGACTATCAGATTTTTCAGACCTGAGAAAGCATGACTCCCCCAGGGGGAAACATAACCTGAAATACTCTGGGTTCTGTTGCCCTCACTATCATCACATATTTGTTAGTCATCACTCTCCTGCAAAGGCAGGAATGGTAGAGAATGGGGGAAAGGAAAGGAGTCAATCATTTCATTGGAATTGAAGGCCATCGTCTATGCTTTCTGTTTAAAGTGATTTACCAGACCCTGTGCTTTATCAGGGAGCAAGCCCTCAGATTGTTTTGCATTTTTCTCCCTTATTGTCATCAACTGCACTGATTTGGCTGGAGGAGTAGCAGAAAAGGTGATCATTTTCCTAAAACAAACTCCCAACCACTATAAGCCATCCAAATGCAAAGAGAGTTTTGAATGTGACCTTATGGAAAATGAAGAAAAGTCAGCTGAAAGTGAGCTGAAATGCCCTGTTCTTTTCCTTCAGCTCTTTTGTTTATTTTTTTCTCCCCTTTGGAACCTTCTGCAAGTAGTTGTGGCAAGTTCTTGTTCAATTTCATGACTTTTTTTTTAGAACCTATGAAGCAATGAAAGGCCATTTCAGTAATTTGAAAACAAAACCAAATTGCTTTGTGGGTTTTATAGATCTCCCAAGGAGAGAGGGCCTGAGCTGGTCTGGGCATGCAGGTCTGACCTCTGCCCAGCAGGCACCCACCCGCTAGGAGTGATGAATGGCGCCATGGCTCCAGAAGGAATTTGTGTCTTTCTGCTGCTCCAGGACACTTGTCTCCCTTCCGATTTAAGCTACAACAGCTCTCACTAGTAACAAATGGACAAGAATGGAAAGCTCTCCACACGCTGGAGATGTGATTTCTATCTGTAGCTTGAACACACCAGCTCAGTCCTGCGTCAGGAGCTCTGTACTTGCTCTTCCTCTCCCTAGAACAGTGTCCTCCAGATTACATGATGTCTGCTTCTTTCTAGCACATGGGCCTCCTTCCAAATGCCTTATCTTCAAACCAATCTAAATTGTACACCCGAAGCCCCATTACTCTCTAATACGCATCCTGAAGTCATATTCTTCATAACAAAGTTATCTTTCATTATCTTTAATTTCCTTGTTTATTGTCAGTCACCCCGGACTTGAATATCAGGTCAGTGAGAACAGGAACTTGGGCTTGTTCCCAGCTCTATTTCTAGCACCTAGAGCAGGGCCTGACACAGAGTAAACACCTTCTAAGACTGAACCAGAGTAGGAGGACTCGAAGAGTAGGCAGTGCTGTTATACTGGAGTCAGAAAACCTCAGTTTGAATCCAGGAACACAGTCAAGCTGTGTTTGATTTTGAGTAAAATATTTAAATTTTCTGGACTTCAGTGCTTCCATCTGGGAAAGGAACTCCTACTCTGGGGAGCTAAAGCCTCTGTGGGTAGGAGCACAGTCACAAAAGCAACGTTTGTGACATTTTTCCTCTTTTGGTCTGTATATCTATAAATTTATAGATTGGGGTTGCATTCATAAGATGTGTTATCACAAAGCCGGCTGGTACCTTTAGTGCTGCAAATTTGGTGAGAATATCTATGGAATGATTCTAACAGAATACCTGATGAGTTGGCACTCAATTAGTATGATTTTCTTTATTCCATAAGACACTACGTCAAATCTACTATTTCTCTGTCTTTTTCTAGACAATACAGATGCCAGCCAACAGCTCAGTGAGAGCTACTGTTTTTATGCTTGTGGGAATGAGATGAAAGGTAGAGGAAATTCAGATGAAAAAGGTATAGAATACACCTTAACATTGCAGGGAGCAGCGGTAAGACAGTGGACCAA